GATCCACCCCGAGCTTGCTTTGCTTTTCTTGACAGGTCTTGTGACCCCTTGTTCTCCCCCACTTTGCCTATGGGGGTGTGTCAAACTATATGCCTATGTTATAATTATATGTAGGCTTTAGTGGGGTAGCTAATGTAGGGTATAGGTTTTGTTACTTGTACCCAACTCTCTCGATAGTCATGCCAACCTTTTCCTTCCCTTTACTCTCGACAGTGCCAACCCCCCCCCCCCCCCCCCCCCCCCCGTAGTCTAGCTCACTACCTTGTAGAGTGACTCTCCGCAGGACTTAGCCAGGATTTGCCTCAGGGTTGTTCGCAGGTAGTTTGCAGTGGAAGTGAATAATGGCACGCGTCAGAGTGAATCTAGGATGACAGAAGTGAGTACAACAAGCAAATACAGTGGTCTATATAAGATTTCAAAGAAGTACCAATCGACCTAGCTAGCCACATACTCTAAGGGGTACATTCACTTATTACAGCGAAGTTAAACCGTGCGGCGCGGTAACCCGTTTCTAACCGGTTCCCGCCCTTTCCCTTGCTGCTGCTTCTGCCTCCAACGGCCCCGATGCCCCAACCGTGTGCGACCCTTCAATTAATCTTGTGCCTTCGTCCCCATCCTCGATAATATATTGGCGCTGTTACGTACATGAATGTTGAGTTATCTCCTTATCATAAGAGTGTGGGATGTGAATTTACCTGCCAAGATTTGAGGCTCTACATGCATGGTATGTCATATCCTGAGGTGGGGCGAGTAACTAACCTGCCAAAACAAGGGCCCCTGCAAGACAATCGCGCCGTTGCCAACGGCATCGAGCATAAAGGAGTGCGGCATGAGCCCAGTCTCATCGCTTCGAAAGAAACTCGTCTCAACTCTATCCTAATGAAGTTTCGGGTATGAGGCGGATACCCGGCTAATTTTGTTCTGTATAAGTGACAAAAACAGAAATGTCTGGTGGTGCCGGTTGGTGTACGCGATACAGCTGAGTACACACTTTTTAGTGTCAGTCCTTTCAGGAGGCCAGCTCATCACAAGCACTTCGTGACAGATCTGCCAATTTTCTTCCGCGCTGCCACATCACCTCCTCCTCAAGGAGCTGTCTCCTTAGCCGTGTCCCGTTCCTCTAGAGTCAATATCTCCACAAGTATGGGGTCTAATCGTTGCATAGCAGTCCCAAGCATGTGACAATACAGCAGTATCATTGGCTGTTGGGCGCGACATCAGTGGGAACTCCAGCCAAACACAAATGCGAAGCGACCTTTCTAATTCGTTGTAAAGCGCGCCCTTCCAATCAGCCGCCCACGCTTGTTACCAAACCTCGCGCCAGCCCTTGAAAAAACTCAGAAGCCAACCCGAGGCAAGATCAAAGCTGTGTTCTCCCGAACCTTCGCAAGGCAATGCACTTCGCCTCGTTGAAGCAAGGTCAGGGCGCTTGTTACCACTGTACTAGGCTACTGTATGCGACATTCGCTGCACATCAGAGCTGGAGGTTGCATTTCAGGAAGCATGGGCTGAACTAAACGCATGGTGGTGGTGGTGGTGGTGGTGGTGGTGGTGGTGAGGTGATGGATGCGAGTGCGCGTCACTGCTTGCATCAATGTGCACAAAGGTGAATGGCGGTACATGTCGGTTTAAACATTTAACCGCTTTAAAGCCCAAGACCTGAATTACAAAAAAAGGAAGGCAAACTGTGCACAGTTTGCCTTCCGAGCCCACAGTTGACTTCCCGAGCCTCTCTGGTTACCAAATGACGCCCCGCAAAACTGCAGAGAGTCGTAAGCCCAAAATTGGTTGGCGAGAGTCCCAACCGCTCCCTCCTGAAGGGAGTAGGGCAAGGCAAGCTGTGTACAGATTGGAAATTGTTGTAATTCAGGTCATGCTCGACCACATAGTAGTCACGTGAAACTCCTAGGTAGAGCAGAAAGCCAATAGAGCTGGAGCCCAATCCACCGGAAAAAAAAAAAAAAAAAAAACACCAAACAGATTCTATGCGATGGCGCCGCTTTTTACTCAGCGTCGTCGTCGAAACCCTGCGCGACCGCGCAAACGACAGTTTGCAGCGCATGCATCTCCTCTCCGAGCTCGATAATAGGTAATCAAACGGTCGATCGCGGTCATTTCCCGCGCATTCGCCCTATGTTTGCCTCAGCTACATTCCCCTCCCGCGCTTCCTAGTCGACGTCACACCCTGCCACCCACGCTTCCCCTCGTCGCCGTCGCCGTCCCCCACGCTTCCCCCCACCGTCGCCCTCGCTTCCTCCCGCTGTCGCTCACACTTTACTCCGTCGTTGACCACGCTCCCCCTCCCGTCGCTTTCGCTTCCTCCCACCGTCGCCCTCGCTTCCTCCCACCGTCGCCCTTGCTTCCTCCCACCGTCGCCTTCGCTTCCTCCAACCGTCGCTTTCGCTTCCTCCCACCGTCGCCCTCGCTTCCTCCCACCGTCGCCCTCGCTTCCTCCCACCGTCGCCCTCGCTTCCTCCCACCGTCGCCCTCGCTTCCTCCCACCGTCGCCCTCGCTTCCTCCCACCGTCGCCCTCGCTTCCTCCCACCGTCGCCCTCGCTTCCTCCCACCGTCGCCCTCGCTTCCTCCCACCGTCGCCCTCGCTTCCTCCCACCGTCGCCCTCGCTTCCTCCCACCGTCGCCCTCGCTTCCTCCCACCGTCGCCCTCGCTTCCTCCCACCCTCCCCTACACTCCGCCGTCGTCATCACTTCCCTGCCTATCACGTTCACCCTCTTCGTCACACGTCGCCTCTCTCTCTCCCCCTATTCTACCTTCACCACTCCTACCGTCGTCCATGGTTACCACCCCACACTTGAACCCTTCTCATTCTCTCACATTCTCCCTTCTCCCTTGCTTCTCGCCCACACTAAACGCAGAGATGTATGGCGCCTGGGCGCTGGGTATGGGGTCGTGAATTGTTCGCTGTGGGGTGTGTGAGGGTGCGTGGTGCGAAGGCTAGGGGAGAATGAAAGCTGATGGGGTGCGAGTCGAGGAGCACGCACCCTGCCCCTCACGCTGTGTCACTCACAACCCAATGGCAGCACAGCAAGCTTAGCAACCTCCTCCTCACTCTCGCACCAACCCCGCACACAGCCGGGGAAGCTCGTGCAGGCGGGCAGTGAGGAGCGCTGTGCACAAGGGGGCGAGGGGGTGGGGCAAGGGAGCGGGGGAGGCGTGGCAGGGGAGTGAGGGAGGGGGGAGTGGGGGAGGCGGGGCAGGGGAGTTGGGGAGGGGGGCAGGGGAGTGGGGGAGGGGGGGCAGGAAGCCGTCCCGTCTTCCTCCTCTTCCTCTTATTTGCCTTCTCCTGTCCGTCCTTCCACTCTCCATGCCTCCCTCCTCTCTTTCTCTCTCTTTCCCTCCTTCACTTCTCCCGTCCGCCCGTGCTCCCAGCCTCCCTCCTCCGTACCACTCTCCCACCCACTCTTTCTTTCATCCTCCTGCCTCTCTTCCACCCTGCCACTCTTCTTTTCAGACTGCCACCTTCCGAGCTTCTTTTAGTCCACCTTTCCGTCTCACCCACTTGTCCTCTCCCAACTTGATCCTCACATCCTCCCATCCCCCCTTCTCCCCTTCCACCCTCCAACCCTTGCGCTCATCCTCCCTTCGTCTCACCCTCCTTTTTTCTCATCCTCCCATCCTCCCTCTCTTCCCTCCCCCCTCCCTTCCTCCTGTCCTCCCTTCCTCCCTTCCTTTCTTCCTCTCTTCCACCCTCTGCCCTACTCTCTGCTTCAGTGTCTTTCTCCCCTCTCTTTCCCCTTTCCTCCCTCCCTTCATCTCATCCTCTCTTCCGCCCTTCCTCCTTGTCTCCCTTGCTCATTTCTCCCTCCTCATATTCCCTGTTCCCTGCGTCCCTCGCTGCCATCCTCCCTTCCTCTCAGCCTCCTCACTTCCTCTCGTCAACCATTCCTCCGCACCCTTCTACCCTGCCACGCCTATACACTCCTACCTTGTTCTAGGGGCTTGTTTCTTGTTGCCTGCCTGGCCTTGCATTGTCATTGTTTTGTATCCTTCCCCGCTGCTTCGACTCTTGGCACATTAGATTTTGTGGTTCGTGTTTGTGCAGGTCTGCCATGTATCTAGCTGTGATGCCTTCACTCTTTGATGATAGTGGTATGACAAATAGCCATGCCATGTATGTTGGATGCTTCTCATGATACAACACTTTGGGCCTCGGAGCAGCCATGTACGTGAGCACGACAATGAAATGCAACAAAGCAAGAGATTTTCTTCCTTACAGTTGTCGCCAGTGGACTACAGGCACAATGCACAAATCTGGAAGGTGGTAACTTTCCATCCCACTCCTGTTGGGACCCATGGTGCTGGGCACCTGTACAAGCATGGTTCTGTGATAGAATGGGGAGGGAAGAGTGGGTATGGCGAATAAGCAAGGGCTGGAGGTTGGAGGTACAGAAGGGCATGTATAGCTGTGGAGCGAAAGGCAGTGCGGATGGTGGTGGTGCTGCTGCTGCTCGGGCTGTTGCTGTTGCTCTAGGAGTTACAACTGCTGCTACTTCTGCTGCGCCAGCTGCGCGCCTTTCTCCCTCCCCCTCCTCCTCCTCCTCCTGCTGCCGTGTCAAGAGCGGCTCCCTCAGCACGTCCCCAGCACCGCCAGCACTCGCAGATGCGGGCACATGGGGTCCCTTGCGCGCCGAGTCAGAGGAGGCACCTTGCGCAGAGGGGCGTCGCGAGGAGCAGCGCTGTGACGCTGGTGCCAGGGAGGCTGCCAGACCCACCGGGCTGCGCAGGGCGGACGCACCAGCAGCACCACCAGCAGCACTGCCTCCGGCACCTGTGCCTGCAGCTGGAGAAACGGGAGCAGCGGCGGCAGCAGGAGCAGCAGGCGCAGCAGTGAGAGTGAGTGCAGGAGGCGGGGGCGAGGCGCCAATGGTGAAGGCAGGAGAGGGCGGGGAGAAGGTGGATTGAGAGAACACCAGCCTGGCCCTTGCAGGCGCCAGCGCGACCGCCGAGTCAGAGGAGGGGGGGATAGAGCCGGGCGGAGGGTTACCCTCCCGTGCTGCTGGAAATCCCCCCCTGCTGCTGACCACCCATGGGGCTGCTGCTGCCCCCCATGCCTTGCACTGCAAGGAACGCACCCGACGACGCACCACCGGCGCCCATGCTGCTGCTCCCCTCCGTCGCCCAGTACGCTCCCGAGGCACCCTCCATCGCACCACCGCCACCCGTGCCCATGCCCACGAGCAAGGGCATGGCTAGCGCGCCTCCCACTCCCCCTCCCCCTCCCCCTCCGCCTCCTCCTCCGCCTCTCAGCGAGGGAGCTGACGCGGCTGATGTCTGACAGCAGAGAGTCGTAGCTCTCACTCCGCTCCAACACTCCCCGGCCCCCTCCCGCGTGCCCTCCCTCTCCCCCTCCCTCCCCCGCCTGTCCCCCCCCAGACGCGCCTCGTCCTCGGGGAAGCTGCCCAGCATCACTGCCCGCTCCTCCCTCCCCAAGCTCCGTGCGGGGGAAGCGAAGGCTCCGCGCGGGGAAGCGAAGGCTCCGCGCGGGGGAAGCGAAGGCTCCGTGCGGGGGAAGCGAAGGCTCCGCGCAGGGGAAGCGAAGGCTCCGCGCGGGGGAAGCGAAGGCTCCGCGCGGGGGAAGCGAAGGCGACGCGCGGGGAAATCGAAGGCGACGGGGGGGAGAAGCGAAGGCGACGGGCGGGATAAGAGAAGGCAACGGTCATCCGAAAGCGAAGGCGGCGACGGGCGGGGGAAGCGAAGGCGACGGGATGGGGCCGCGAATGCGATGGGCTGCGGAAGCGAAGGCGACGACGCGGGCGATGGACAGAGGAAGCGTGGGACCCGGGTGAAGGAAAGCGAGGGCGAGGGATGGTTACGCTTGGCCGAACGTGAGGGTTATGCGAAACCTGCATAACCCATATCTCATCGCACGCCGCTCAATATCCTTACGCTTCGAACTCACATTCCGCACCACACACCATCGCATCGCGCCTTGATCGCTCTAGAGTCAACGGCTACGCCCTGCCTACACGTATTCTATATTATGCCTAGTTTTAGTCTGCTCCTAGGATTGTCAAAGTGTGCACAGTTTGGTAGGCACGCTCAACTCTGGTTGTGGGAAGCACGCCATTCATCACATGTCTTCTTCCAAGCGACACAACTTTGTTGCAAACTGGTTTCGCGAGTGAAAGGGTTTCGCAACCAAACCGAACCTCTTCCGAACCTAGTTTTTTGGCGTTGACTTCCGTTGAGTAATTCAGGTCTTGGGCTTTAAAGCGCACAGCATCCGAGTAAACCGCGTTAACGAACCTCGTGTGACTTCCAGCGCACCATACCACATTAGCAGCAAGCCCTGAGAGTTGCTAGCAGCTTTTCTCCCGCAGTGACGTTTCGGACTTGAAATAAATAGTTTTCACAATCGCTTCGCACGCACATCAGCCCGCCCATAGGAAAGCTCGTACAACCTCCGTAAGCTCACTCTTCTTGCATCGTTCCTCCCTGTGCCTGTGCGCGCGCGCAAGTCTGCCGCTCTTCTGTTGTCCATGCGTCCCGGCGTTGCCTAATCCAAACTCCTCTCCGACCGAAAGAGCTGCTCGCGACAAGCGGTCCCCGCTGCATCGCTGCGAACAATCTCTTTGTCAGGATCACGAAGTCCAAACACATGAGCTAGGTTCCTGATTTTAAATCCTGATCTAGTCCGGATTTCTGTCCATCTAATTAATCTCCTTTTATCATCGCCGGCTGTTCCGTGACTGCGTTCATTCCTGCGGACCGCGCGTCCTCGTTCCGTCACTGGCGTGTTGAGAAGTTTCAGAAGTCGACCTTCATCGGCAATATCAATGGCGTCCTCCTGCCTCCGTACGCTTGTCAGCGCGACTCCCGTCGCGCCAACGCTCTCTCTTACAACTACGACAAATCCCCGCCATGCCGATACGAATCCGGTTGTTCCCCGTGGTGTTCCCATCACCGCCTCCGTCTCCCGTGGGATCCCCGTTACCGTCTCCGTTTCCTTCTCCGTCTCCGTCTCCCATGGTACCCTTCGCGCTTCGCCGTGCGCAAGGGTTTCCGGGCCGCAATCCTTGACTTCCCCGCATGTCGCCCGCGCCTCCCTCTCCTCCTGCTGCTCCTCCCGCTCGTCCTCCTACTCCTCCCTCTCTGTCTCCGACTCACCCCGCTCCACGCGCGCCGTCTTTTGCGCCGTACCTTGCGCCGTTTCTTGCGCCGCCGCCTGCGCTCATCCCTCCCGCTCCGCCTGCCTCGCGCTACCCCTCGCCGACGAGCGCAAGTCGCCGTTTGCGCGCTCCGCGGCGTCTCCAGCGCCAGCGGCGCGCGCTGCCGCCGCGCTGTTACGGCCGCGTCACCAGCTCACATCTCTTCCTCTCCCCGCTACTTCCGCCTCCCCGCCCCTCGATCTCTCATCAAGCTTTCTTTCCTCGTCATGCGCGCTGCGTTCCGCTGGCGCGCTACTAGCAGCTTCCCCCCGGCCGGTCGCCGCGCTTGCCGCCCGCGCGTCCGCATCTGACGCCGGCAGTTCCGGCGACGGGGAGAGCAGTAGCGGGGGGAGAAGCAGCGGAGGGTCGAGGAGTGGGGGAAGGGGCAGCGGGGGAAGCCTGGGGAACGCCCGGGGGGGCAGCGAGTGGGCGGGGGGTGAGGGGGAGGGTGAGGGGGGCGAGGCGGGGGAGAAGGCGGGGGAAAGGAAGGCGGGGAAGGGGGAGGCGGAAGAGATTGACGAGGCGGAGCGGGAGCGGCAGGAGGAGCTGTTGCGCGCGCTGGGGCTGGACTCGAGCATTCCCGAGACGGCGAACGAGTTCCTGGATAAGGTGTCGAGCCGCGCGTACGACATGCGGCGGCGGCTGGAGAGCACCCTGGAATCCACGTCGTACGACGGTGAGTCTCCGCCCCGCCGCTGCCGCCGCCGTTTGAGAAATTTGGAAAGTCATTTCAATGGCCTCATGTAGGCTCTCTGCCCCTGCTGCTTCCATGGAAAGACTTTTGAGAATCCTTTTGAGAATTCTCAAGTCTGATTTCATCCTCATACCCGATTCTCGATGGAAAGTCATTCCATGGAAGCACTATGTTATTCAGAATCCTTTCCCTCCCCCTCACGTTATCATCCATTCCCCCTCTCCCCTCCCCCTTCTACCCTCCCCGCGCCATCCGTCGCCCTCCGCCCTCCTCTCTCCCCCGCCGCCTCCCCCCTGCGCGCAGTGGTGGACTCGAACCCCTGGCGCGACCCGTCGAAGGCGCTGTTCGTGCTGGCGCAGGGGGACGCGCAGCTCTACACCATGCGCACGCGCACTCCGCGCAGGTGGGTGCAGGGAGAAGCGGGGACAGGAATATATGGGAGGAGAGAGGGGCGGGGGGATTCTCTACACCATGCGCACGCGCACTCCGCGCGGGTGGGTGTGGGCGGAGGGGAAAGGGGGAGGGGGGAGGGGAGGGGAGAGAGGGTGGGGGTCCACCGTTGCTCCATGCGCGTCCGCACTCCGCGCAAGTGGTTGAGGGCGCGCATGGGACGGGGAGAGTAACGTGGAACGGGGGGGAGGAGGGGGGCGAATGAAAGGATGTGGGGGAGGAGGAAAGGGAGGTATGCAGGACGAAAGGAAGCATAGTGTGAGTGATGGGGAGGTATGCTGGTTCTGCCGATTCTGCTAGTTCTGCCTATTCTGCTGGTTCTGCTGGTTCTTCTGGCAACTTCCTGTTAGCTCACAGCTTCTGTTCATGAGGCGCCTTGATTCCATCTCCCCATCCCAGCGTGTCTTGGTTCTCCTCTCTCCGTCCCTGTGTGTCCGTTTTCCGTTTTTACGTTTTCCAAATTTCCATCTTGCAGCGAGGTGGAGAGCGAGTTCGATAAGCTGTTCGGGGAGAGGAGAGGCAGAAAGGGAGGCATCTCAGCTGGTGCAAGTGGGAAGAGCAGCAGCAGCGCTGGCAGCAGTGGCGGCGGCGGTGGCGGCGGCGGTGGTGGTGGCAGCAGCGGCACCCGCACTGCTTCGCCCACGCGTTCTCGCTTCTCGATGAAAGTGGAGGACGTGAGGGAGGGTGTCCTGGTACGGATCAGCCCCTCCCCTCCTCCTTCCTTTTGATTTCGAGTCAAAATTTGAGTTGGACGTTTGCAGTTACCTCATGTGCTCCTTACCTCACCTTTCCTCGCCACCCATGCCACCACCCATGCCACCACCCGTGCCACCACCCATGCCACCACCCATGCCACCACCTATGCCACTACCCATGCCACCACCCATGCCAACATCTATGTCTGGCGGCAGGTGTTTGAGGACGAGCAGCAGGCAGCGCAGTACTGCAGTCTCTTGGAGGGGCAGGGCCACAACTGCCTTGGAGTGGCGCAGTTCAAAGCCAAGGATGTGAGTTGCTCAGCCCGGTGACCTCGAGTCGTGCTGTACTGTGCTTGTATTGTGACTTTCGGCAAGAATGCGAGTTTTGGCGTACAGGGAACGGGAGTTGGGCTGTGCTGAGTATCGAAGCGTAGTCACCCACCCTTCCATTCGTGTGACTAATTTTCTGCCCTGCATCTGCCAAGCCTGGCTACCAGTAGAGTGCGCGTGACAGGCAGAGATTTTGCCATATATCCTCTGTCAAACCCCCTCATACCCTCTCCGTTCCACCCAATCTTTGCCCCAGCTGTTCAAGGTGTGCCAGTCGTCCAAGGCTCTTGCTGTGCTGTTCCGTAGCGGTGTGGTTCCCCCCCAGCCCGACCGCCTGCAGCAGCATTTGGGAGCCAAAAAGAGGTCCTTGGAGGATGATGCGTGATTGAGAAGGGGTGTTGATGGAAGGGAGAGTGTTGCAGAGTGGGCGAGGAAGGGAGACGGGGTGGTTGATGAGATTGTGTTGATGTATGTAATGTGTTGATGTTAGAGTTATTGGGTTTGACATTTCGAGCTGGGGTCGCAACGCAAGCAGGTCTGGAGTGTGGTACCGTACCTACATGGGTTGGTGAGTGTGCATTGGCAGCTGTACATAGTGGTCTGGTGTAGCTTATCTGGAAATGTTATTGTTGCCGAAAGGTTGGGTAGGCATGTGTGAACAATTAGCGATAAGACGTTCTCATTATTAATTGTATGCATTGCCTGTGAGGATGTACATATTGGCTTACTTTTGGCTTCCTACCTTATATTCAACAGAACAAATCATGTATGCCAGATAAATATTCCGGAACCTGAGCTCCATAATATCTTGTCCCACCTTTGGTTGGTTTGCGTCTTCGTGGTTCCGAGCTGGAGTGGGCCACGATTGACGGGACCACTCTCATCGCCACGACTCACCTCTAGGCATTGACCATGCCCATCTTCGTCAGCAAGGTGCATAAGCAGACGTGGAGCCAAACACGTCATAAGCTCATCACCCAGGCTGGACGGCATGGAAGGATCACGCACAAGTGACACAACGAACATCCTACCCAGCTGGATATGGCCCATCTCGCCTATTTCCAGCACCGAACCGCGGATGGGAATGATGTGGGGCAATGCGAACCTCTCGCGTCGCCATCGCACCTCGCTTCGAAACGAATCTTTGGAATCTCCAACCTTGCCGCGCTAATCGTGCGGGAAATAGGGGCCTGCGGAAATTCGGATTCCGGATGGGCAGGTGCTCCGCGCAGGTGGGCTGGTTGCTCCACCGCAACGGCTTGCTGTGGCCTGAGCTCCGGGGACACGCCACTCTCTTGGTTTGGAGGATCCCTCCCGGCGGGGAACACCAACCAGCAGCGTTCCGCCTGTTATCATCCCTGCTCCCCGCAAGCCCCCCCCTCTCTCCCCTTCCCAGCCGTCATTCCCAGGGAGTCGAGTCGAGTCGAGTGGAGTCGAGCGAGTCGGTGCGCAGCAGCAACCTGAGGAGACCAGAAAATGTTATAATCCCTCGAGACTTGAAGCTCAATTCATCCGTCAGCAAACGTTTCTCCTCTCCTCCTGTCCCCGTCGCCCATACTTCGCCTGCGTATTCAGTCAATTCCTCGCCATCCGTGTTGCACGCTCCAACCTCCGACTTCCAAACCACATAGCATTCCTCTTCCACCGTCCACTGCCACCATCTCCACCACAATTTGGGGCTTCGGGGCTGACGCTGCTGCATTGGCTTCTGGAATTATTACCCACTAGCCGACGCTGCAGGTTTCGAACGTCTTCGCTTTCAAGCATTGTGACGCGTTACCGTTGGATCCAAGTCACGATGGCTACCACTTCATCGTCACCGTTGCTGGCGACAGCCGCCAAGAAGGCTGCGGATCTCTGCCCCCGGATGATGGAGAAGCTCGTCAGAAGGTATGTTCAACGTATTATCTTATGGCAATGTACGGCCTCTCTCATCCCTCGCCTGCTTTGCTCCTGTTCCTAAAGGTCTAACCTGTCTCGCTTGCGTTTTTCGTAATTCTCACTCCTGATTCTCTTACATTCTATGTGTTTGCATCAAGCAGGTATCACTCCACCCCCGTCACTCTCGAGAGGGCTTTCCACACGGAAGTAACGTCCTCTACTAAGTCTACCTCGACAACGCCCGCCGTTGCATCCGAAATGCGCTATCCATTCGCTGGTG